GCGGATCTCGGCGATCGGGCACACTCGCGGTCGCGTACGCGGGTAACACTTCCACTTCCGGCGGTTTAAATTGTTCGAAGAAGTCTATGGCGGGGTCCTGTTCGAGGGGGTACCGTTGGCCGGGGCGCTCGAGGAAGGAATATGTCCCTTCGGGCAGGTTCAGGAGCATACCAGCGTCCTGGATGAAGTCGACGCCGAGCAGGGTACGCGTACCTCGACCTGGTAGCACATAGAAGTTTGTGGTTATCACTTTATGGTTAACGCGCACTGGGACACTGGTACACAGCACATTCTGGTGGCGTTCTTCACCGTCCGCGAGCATCAGGGCGACGGATCGAGTGGTGAATTGGAATCCTTGTTGCTTAAGGACTTTGTGAAGGGCGGCTCCCGCGAGGCTTTGTTTGGCTCCTGTGTCTAAAAGCGCGCAACCGGGCGTAGTCCCTACCGATATCCGCACCAAGGGGCGGCTCCTGGGTCGTTCCCTGAGGGCGGCGGCGCAGAATCCCATGGGTTCGGGAGCGTCGCTGGCTGGTCGGCACGTCCGGCAGTTGGCTCGTAGTACTCCGGGCGCTCCACAGCCGTAGCACGTGATGGGTTTTGGCGGGTTGTTGGTGGCTGGCTGAGACGTGGTAATGGGTTTGGCGGTGGCTTCCTGCCTCTTCCTTTTACGACACTCGTCTCGCGTGTGCCCCATGTTCCGGCAGAACGAGCACCGGCTCTTCCGGGCGTCGTGTGTGTCTGCGGTTTTGGAGGTGTCGGTGGTGGCTGACTCGATCCACGTTTCCTCCTCGAGTTTCCGTAACTCTGTGAAGAATTCGGTGAATGTCGCGAATTTTGTTCGCGGGATGGCTTTTCGGATGCGTGGTTGTAGTAGTCCGTAAACCATGTTTATCTGGAACGTTTCGTTCGGTCGTTCTGCTTCCGGGATCTTCGCGATGAGGGCCCTCTTCTCGGAGATGAACCGCTCCGTCGGCGCCTTCTCCCCCTGGTCGGAACCAAAGATTTTCTTTAAGATTTGATGGGTTGGCAGGTCTGGCCCAAAGTTTTCCTTCAGGAGCGTCGTCGCCTCGTCGAACGTCTGCACGGTGCCTTTGACGCCCTGCCACCACGTGCCTGCTGGTCCTTCCAACAGTACGGTGAGGCCTCGGAGCGCGTTCTCTTCACTCACCCTGTCGCAGTCCTTAAAGGTGCGGATGGTGTCCACGAAGGAATGGACGTCCTCGCCGCTGTTTCCTTTGAATCGGGCTTGACATTTGGTGAATGATCCTTTATCTCCGCTGCGTAGTTGGGAGATGATTTGCTGGAACTGCTCCATTGAGAAGGTGAGGGGTGCGTTCCCTTCTGCCATCTCCTGTCGGGTTTTTGCACGTGTCTTCGTCGTTGTAAAAAAAATTTTCTTCGGCCCGAAGGTTGGGCGCCACTTGTTGGATGAGTTAACCTGGGTTGATTAAATTAACTGATCACTACACAAGACTTTTATTTACAGGGGTTTAGGTACGAAGATAAATATTTACAAGATGACTAAGACTACGATAGGTATGTGCTAGATTTGAAGTCTATAGGTTGAAGTACTTGTCCTTCACCGTGCTGCAATCCGACGTTCTGTCAAGACAGGCTCGCTTAGTTAGCGCGTCGGACGGTTTCAGGATCAGTAACAGCAGCGCGTCACAATATACACCGCGGCGTAAGAGAGGGACGGTTGCTACCTGACTCTTGCCCTTGCTTGGTTTGGTGTGCGAGGTATACTGGTGTCGTTCTTGTACGAGAGGGTAGCACTTCCGTTGGCGACCTCTTGCGGGTGGCGATTGGGTCAACCTTAAGTCGCGGGTGCGTGTAGGTGTTGTTTGCGTGGGTGTTGGGTAGGTGGCGCAGAGGGTTTTGTTACAACGTATATATTTTTTTAACCCAGTAATTACTCCATGAATTGTATTAACCCTATCTGGAAAATAACGCATGTAAGCGAATAAGTACCTATAAATTAGATATCTTTTAAAAAAAGTACATTTTTTAAATAATATTCTAGATGTGTTACAAAAAATCGTCTAATTCGGGAACAACACAAAGTAAATGAGGACTAACGCTTTTTACGCAAATTATACCTCTTTCCGAGGGATGCTACAGGGAAATAATCTCAAAATTTTATCACACTAAAATTTTAGGGGTGTTACAAAAAACGTCAGAAAAGACGCAAACTTTTAATTCACCCAAAAATAAATCACATTTTCCGTGTGAATTCTACTACCCAGTATATTATGGAATTATAATACGTTTTAATGAATCCGGTTTCTATTTGTAAATTAGTCCCCATAAACGCAACAATGCCGCTAATGAAGTCAGGCCTGCTGTATGATGTGTTGCCTACTGTACATTTATAAATGGTGAATGACTTCACTAAACGCTACAAGTTTTCTTAAAAAATTTCGAATGAATATTTCGTCTAAAAATTTTTGTAATTTATGTGAAAGGTTGGTCGATGGCTCTATGGTTTGCTAATGTTTTTTCTGAGTATGCTACAGGGAGATTTTTAAAATAATTTGTGTTGACGCCATTTTACCTATAAAAGTTCACTTTTTATTGGCAGTGCTCTAAAAATTTTTTTTTTCGTAAATATTAAAATTTTGTTCTGTAGCATCCTTTTTAAATGTATAATTTACACGAAAAAAATTAGCCCCGTCTTTCATCTCATGTTTTACAGAATTGAGACGAAATATAAATCGCACTATTTTCGCATAAATGTTGTACTACTGGATTACACCCTTAAGGCTCCTCTGTAGTCAATCCGCCATATTGGAAAAATAGCTAAACTTTCTTAAGAAATGCTGCTTTTGTAGTTGAAGTCTAACAAATTCTCGATAGTGGATATTATTTGCAATGATGAAAAGAACGGCGGTACTTAAAAAATTGAAATATCGGTCTTAGTTTTTTAGGAAGATCGATGAATAGAAAAATCGTTTTTTGTAGATAACAGCCGTTGTAATGAGGGTAGAAAAACGTACAGCACCAATTTGGAAATCCGACAGTATTTCTTACGGCGGTACTTAAAGATATTAATTCCACCTATTATGCTAAGGCATATATTTTAAAAAAGGGTTGTAATAAACTGAACAGTATTTAATTAAGTTTCTACAGTATAATATTACCTAAAGTCAGTAAAATATTGTAAAAAGCTCAGTATATTTATAAAATTTGATGAGTTAAAATGGAATTTTTGAGCAGTAACAAAACTATTTGGCCAGTATTATAGTGGTCAGTAAAAATTAATAAAACGTCAGTATGGATTAGCTGATAATAAATCAGCAAATCTACAGTAAAAATCAATAAATGGCCAGTATGCGATAGGCGGTAATAGAAATGAAGTCGTGGTTTACCTAATATTTTTAGGTCGGCTAATAAGCTTCTTTCGCGCTTAGTCGGCTTGTGAAATAAACGTGATTGTTGATGTAACGCTTTATATGCGCTCGGCGCGATATTATTATAGTTTCAGAGAAGTAAAAATATTAAGTGATTCGTGCTGTAGGTTTCCTTGCGACTGGAACGGTACGATATGGAAGATGTACCAGACTATGAAACAAGTTCCGAAAGTGAAAGTGAAGAGGCGATCACGAAAAGGAGGAAGAAGGTAGACAAGCAATGGGAAATGGAAAAAGTGTTCGAGAATAAGGCGTCTGCAGTAGCTGCAGTTCAGATGGAGCAGGTGTGGAGTTTTACTTATAAAAATGTGGACACAGAAGGAAATGTAAGTGAAATTTTTCGATGTAACAAAGTAAAAAAAAGAGCGGAGCAATGCGCTGCAGGTGTGTACCTACATTATCCCTCTACTACAAGTGAGGTCCATTTATACCGATCTCAACTAGCCCATACGTGTAATGTAATTGTTACAAGAGTAAAAAGTAAAATATCCAATGAGGTAAAAGAGGAAATCAAGTCTCTCTTTAATTTTGATTCAAAAATAAAACCAAAAAAGGTTCTTGATATATTAATTAAAAAGCAAATTGCATTACCAAGTAAGACTCAGCTCAATAATTACTTGTCTTCATTAAGAAAAGTAAAATATGGATCCAATGTTATGAGTCTTGGCGAATTGGAAAATTTTTGTTTAGAAAATGCAAAAGTTCCTGATGATGTTGATGCGGCGTTTGTTGTTTCCTACCAAGTGGGATATGAAGAACAGCCGTTCTTTCGATTTTTTGTTTCCACTAAAAACTTGTTGAAATTGTCCTGTGACGCTCACCACATACATGCTGATGCGACATATAAATTGGTGTGGCAAGGTTTCCCTGTATTATTATTGGGAACTACAGATCGAGACCGAATATTTCATATTTTTGGGCTAGCGGTTTGCAGCAAAGAACAAACCGAAGAGTTTGTATTTTTGTTTAAAGCAATAAAATCTGCCGACCAGGATATATTTCAAAAGTCAATTTGCCCAAAATACCTCGTTTGTGATGCCGCTAAAAGCATCCAGAATGCCTTCATAAATGTATTTGGATCGGATGTTACTATCATAATGTGTTGGGCACATATGAAAAAATGTGTCCAAAAGAAAGCCGAACAGGTTGTGCATCCGAAGGAGAAACGTAATGAAATATTAAAAGATATTGACTTATTGCAACTGAGCAATAGTAAGCATGTTTTTGAGAAGGCGTCTCATCAGTTTATTGCAAAATGGGAGGGCGAACAACAACAATTTATAGAATATTTCCAACACGAATGGTTAGACAGTAATCCAAACTGGTTTGAAGGCGTTTCAAAGTTGGTTCCATCTACAAATAACGCCTTGGAATCTTTCAACAGAGTAATTAAAGATAACACTTTGCGCGAGAGATTGCCTTTATCTCGGTTCGTAGTGGTTCTCAAGGAATACATAAATACCTGGTCTCTTCAGTACACTGCAAATGCAAAAACAGTACATGCAGTTCCTACGCTAAACTTAGGTTTGTGGACCAAAGCTTATCAATGGGTTTGTGAAAAAAAGAAGATTGTCTCACATCGTTGTTTAATATCACCATTAAACAGGAAAGGGCGCTGGCCAAATATTAGAGAAATAGTTAATTGGGAAAGAAAGTAGGATTAAGAAATAAAATTACATTGCATTATTTGTAAATGAGGACAATTTGCACACAACATTGACTAGGTTAGTTTTCAATTTGCAATTAACAGATTGCAATTAATTTGCCAATTGTTGTATAAAATTTTGTATATAAACAACGTAAAATGTAGAATAAATTACTATTGACACAAAAGTCGTTTAGTCACTCTACGTGAGCACGGGGCTTCCAAGTCTTTAAAATTCGGTGCATGAGACTGTGTACCACCCTGTGCTTACACTAAATAATATTGGGAGTAATCTCAATATTGTTCATGGTCCTTCGAGCCAACACCAGCGGCAGAAAATAAAAAGGTCCTTCAAGCCACCACCAGCGGCAGCAAAACCACTATTAGCAGTCAAGGATTTACGACCCTTGGACTTGAGCGAGAGGCACTGGGTAAGCGGAATTTTATTTTGACTAAAAAAGTCAAGGGAAGCGGCGAAAAACAAAAGGATCCTACCTACTAACAAAAAGGCGATCAAGAGTCGCGTCGCTGATGCAGAAGAACGCCGGCGACAACAACTGGAGACTGATTCCTGTAGCAGGAAGGAGCAAACCATACAGCTTCAGTCCAACGTTAAGAGTCCGGGGGGACCCACGGATATCTGCGTGCGACAAACACAACGTTGCATTACAGAACAAGTTTTTGGAATTATTCGGGCCAGAACCAAATTTTCAGCATCCGACACAACAACTACTACTAAAAAAAAAAAAAAAGGGGAAAAACGGTTCTGAAGTAAGAGGGGGTGTTGGTTTGGATTCTGTTTTAGCTACCAGAAGTTCAAATGGAGCAATTAAACGAACTCGCACGGAAACAACAGGAGATTGGTCAACAAATGTGTAAAATGTTAGCCAATATGAAGAAAGACTCAGCCTCCAGGAAAACCAGCGAATATATTGTGAAACATGACCGACAGCTAGAAGCTTATCAGGAAGGTATCGAAAAAAATCATAACGAAATTATCGAATTACAGATACAAAATCATGAGTATCACAGTACAAAGTACAGAGATCAGCTGCAAAAGGTCTACGACAACACGATAAATTATCTACAACAGTTACAGAATCAGCAGAAGAAGGAAGAGGATATTGAAGAAATGGATAACGAACAGGAGCTCCGAATAAAAAAACAGGAGGTTCGTCTAAAACAATTTAGAGGGATATTGTTTCAAATGGAAGAGGAAATAATGGAGCAGAACTTAAGACGCTGCGAAACATTGTACACCAAAGCAGAGAAGAAGTGGGAAGTAATATCAGAGCTTGAAGTGGACATTCAAGCAAACGAGGTGAGCTTCTCTCATGAGTATTTTAGAAAGGATCCAGTCACGAAAATGGAATTCGAATACGATAACATACAAGAAAAATTAAAAATGCTCACCAAAAAGGCAAGTATAAAGGCGACAAACAACATCGAGCTGCCCAAAATAAAAATACCAACGTTCCGAAGTGGATATGACAATTGGGCTCCCTTCCACGATTTGTTCGAGAAATTAATACATTCCAACGAGAAGTTATCGAACGCGGAGAAGATGCACTATCTGAAGGGGCATGTGGACGGAGAAGCAGCAAGACTTATACAGCATCTAATGATCTCGGAACAAAATTACGTAACAGCATGGAAGATCCTTCAAAACAGGTATAATAACAAAAGATTAATGGTAAATACGTTATTAGATAGAATCCTGGAATTCTCGAAAATGGAAACAGCGAAGGCATCTCGATTGAAATGGCTTCACGATACCATACATGAGTGTCTGGAGACAATATCAAATCTGGGAATGGATACATCGTCATGGGGTCCAATGGTAATTAGAATCACCACAAAGAAATGGGACTCAGAAACCAACAGGCTATTTGAGCAGTCACTAAAACAACCAAATGAAATCCCAGCATTAGGAGAAGTGATGCAGTTCATGCAGACGAGGTTCCAGTCCTTGGAGGCATCGGGGTCAATGCAGAGCAAGGATGCGAGTCCTAGGTACACCTGGGGAAACACGTCCACCATATCATGCCATTACTGCCAACAGGAGCATCGACTTGAACAATGCCTTAAGTTCAAGGGGCTATCAATCAACGACAGAAACAAGGAAGTAAGAGAAAGAAAAATATGTTTTAGGTGTTTAAAACACAACAGCGAGGAAAAATGCTACTCAGCGTACAGGTGTGCAGAATGCGGTTATCCACATCACACTTTACTTCACCAACCGTACAAACCAATAGCAGAGCGGGCAACACAAGCAAGCACAAGAACATCACACACTACAGTATCTAAAAGGAATTGTCAAACCCAAAAGGAAAACCAGGAAGTACTACTAGCAACAGCGATAGTACAAGCACAAGACCTCACTGGCGTACAGCAATTATTAAGAGTACTAGTGGACCCTGGATCACAAGCCTCGTTCATCACAGAAAAGGCAGCACAGCAGTTGAAGCTACCACGACAAAAAGCGAATGCAAGGGTATCAGGAATAGGTGGTTATGATCACACTAACGCAAAAACCAAGATAACGGTTCAATTACATCCAAGACAACCAAGTGAGTATGAGTTAACAACAGAACTAATCATTCTCACAAAGATAACCGAAAATCTACCACTGGCGTCGTTTGAGATGAACAAAGATCCATGGAAGAATGTGCTGTTAGCTGATCCCACGCTGAATAACTCCGGACCAATTGACATACTACTGGGTGCCGAGGAATACGCAAAGATCATACTACCGGGAGTCATGAAAGAAGGAAAATTAGTGGGTCAACAAACCGAATTTGGGTGGGTGATATCCGGGCAAACAAAGCACGGTGTCAACCAAGGCTATCAAATACTGGGCATGGTATCAACAATGGAAGAAGAGACACAACTATCCAAATACTGGGAAATAGAAGAAGCGACCATGGCTAATGGGTTCAATGAAGAAGACAAGAAGTGCGAAGACCACTATAAGGCAAACACTACACGCAGCCCCGATGGAAGATACACAGTCAAGATTCCATTCAAGAAGAATTCGATCAAATGGGGGCGATCCAGACCACTAGCAATAGCCAGGTTGTTGCAACTGGAGAAAAAACTAGCAGCAAACGACAAGATGCGTGAAGAATACAACGCGTTTCTACAAGAATACCTGGATTTGGGTCACATGGAAATGGTACAGGCACACTCAATCGAGGGCACACGCTATTACATACCACACCAACCAGTGATAAAGGAATCCAGTACTACAACGAAGATGAGAGTGGTGTTTGATGCATCAGCCAAAACGACGACCAGCGGAAGTTTAAATGAGATGATGTATGTGGGACCGAGGTTGCAGCCAGACATAGCCGATATATTACTAAGATGGAGAAAACATCAATATGCGTTCACAGCAGATATTAAAAAGATGTACCGCCAAATAAGGATACATCAAGACGATCGCCAGTTCCAGACTATAGTATGGAGATTCGAACGTAATCAGCCGATACGCGAATACCAGCTCAACACAGTAACATATGGAACAGCGGCAGCTCCATACTTAGCCATAAAGACACTACAACAGTTAGCAGAAGACGAAAAAGAAGAGTATCCATACGCAGCACGAGTCACGCTACAAGACTTCTATGTGGACGACATTTTATCTGGTGCTAACAGCATACCTCAAGTAGTACAATTGCAAAAAGAATTAACCAATATGCTAAAAAAAGGAGGGTTCCAGCTACATAAATGGGCAGCCAATAAAGAAGAGATATTAACCACTATTCCCATGGAAGCTAGAGATCCTGCTGTAGCCGAGTTCAACAATGACGACCAGATCAAATCGTTGGGAATAAGATGGATACCAAACCAAGACATCTTTACGTTCAAATTCAAGGATGGCCAAGATAAACCAACCAAACGGAACATTTTGTCGGAAGTGGCCAAGATATTCGACCCTTTGGGTTGGCTGTCACCAATACTCCTAAATGCAAAATTACTCATACAAAGACTCTGGCTATCCAATACAGGCTGGGACGAAGAGGTGGCGGAATCAATCAAGATAGAATGGACAAACTTCAAAATCGATCTCAGTATGGTGGAATACTTACGGATACCTAGATGGATGCAGTACGATCAAGACCAAGAAAAAATAGAACTTCATGGGTTCTGTGATGCATCAGAAAAAGCGTATGGAGCAGTGGTGTACTCAAAAACAGGAAATGGGTGCATAAGTCTATTAATGTCAAAATCAAAAGTCGCCCCAGTACGAACCAGGCAAACGTTACCTAAATTAGAATTGTGTGCAGCAGTGCTACTAGCAAAGGTGCTAAAAAGAGTGACAGAAGCATTACAGATACCAAAAACAACAGTGTACGCGTGGACCGATTCCATGATCACACTCGCATGGATGAAAGGTGACGCAAACAAATGGAAAACCTTCGTGGGAAGTCGAGTGGCACAAATCACAAGCATGACCGCAAAAGAACAATGGAACCATGTGCGTACTAATGATAATCCTGCAGATCTGGTATCGCGAGGAACAACAACATCCAAATTAAAAAACAACACGTTATGGTGGAATGGACCCATATGGCTAAAAACAGATAAATGGAAACACAGTACAAGCGAATATCCTACAACAGAGGTAGAGAGCAAGAAAACTATGACAATAATAGTGAACAATAGGAACGAGCTAGCAGAAAGGTTTTCTTCACTAACACAACTAATTCGAGTGACAGCATACATCATTCGATTCATCAAGCATTGCAAAAAAATTACAGTAGCTGACGAACATTTAACAGTAGAAGAACTCAATACGGCATTAAAGAAACATATACAAGTAACACAACAGAATACATATCCAAGGGAAATACAAAAGTTAAGTAAGAAAGAACAAGTACACAAGGACAGCAAGTTAGAATCGCTCAATCCGTTTCAAGATGAAGACAGTTTACTTAGGGTAGGAGGGAGGTTACGCAATTCTTACTTATCATACAACGAAAAACATCCATACATTCTACCAGCAAACAGCCATCTAACACGACTACTGATTTTGGATGCACATCAAAAAACATTACATGGAGGTCTTCAAATAACATTAGCATATTTAAGAAGAAAATATTGGATTATCACCGGTAGAAGAACAGTTCGAGAAATCATCAACAAGTGCAATACATGCATAAGACATAAGGGACAAACATTACATCAAATAATGGGAGATCTGCCAGCATCCAGAATAACACCATCATCACCGTTCGAACATTGTGGAATTGACTATGCCGGTCCCATACAAGTAAGAGCATGGAAAGGCAGAGGCCATAAATCATACAAAGGATACATTGCAGTGTTTGTATGTCTAGCAACAAGAGCGATTCATTTAGAAGTTGTTAGTGACATGACATCGGAAACATTCATCGCGGCTTTCAGAAGATTTTCAGCAAGACGAGGTGGTTGCCAACACATATACAGCGACAACGGCACCAACTTCGTCGGAGCCAGCAATATGATACAGCAAGAAATTCAACAAATAGTACACAGTAGAGAAGTGCAAGAAACATCGGTGTCAACTGGAACTCAATGGCATTTCATTCCCCCAGCAAGTCCACATATGGGAGGAATTTGGGAAAGTGGAGTTAAGTCCTTAAAACACCATTTAAGAATAGTAATTGGGGAATCAACACTTACATATGAAGAATTAACTACATTAACTCATCAAATCGAAGCGTGCTTAAATTCAAGACCAATAGGAAAGTCCAGTGATGTAGTAGACGGAGGTACAACACTAACACCCGGTCACTTTCTAAGAGGAAAACCAATAATAGAACCATTCGCGAAATCATCAGGTACAATAGAACTCAACTTAAGCAACAGATGGAAAATGGTACAAAACATGAAGAAACAATTCTGGAAAGCATGGACGACGGATTATTTGCATAATTTACAACAACGCTATAAATGGAAAACAAAAGAAGACAATCCAAAGATAAATGATGTATAGTACTCATCAAAGAGGACAACTTGAGTCCAGGGAAATGGCCACTTGCAAAAATCAAAGAATTACATCCATCAGAAGACGGCACTGTACGCATTGTTACCATCCAGAAGGCAGATGGGAAAGCATCAAAAAGGAGTATTCATCAACTAATACCAATCACGACAGAAGAAGGTAACACCGCAGAAAAAAATCAAACAGCAACATCACAACAACACGCATATGGATGCAATCTGAAAACATTCGTTATAAGCATACTAATGCTATTGGTCACAGTAACAGCAGAATACAATATTACATATCCAAAGCCAGGTTTCTACATTGAACACATGGGAGAAGTTCAAATTGAAAGAGGTATATTCCGAATCGATCTACAATACAACAAATCACGAATCAAAGAGGATATAAACGCAGCATTTCTAACGACTAGTAATTTCAAAGAGTTGTGCAAGAACGCAACAGAAATGACAGAAAACGTACAATGTACAGAATTGGTGCAACATATCGAGGATCAAGAAAATCAATTGAGATGGGTACAAGAGGGAATCAACTACATAAGTCAAACTCGTAAAAAAAGAGGTATCTTGGGGAATATATTAACGGCGATATTCGGTGTGAATGACGAAGTATACAAGGACATTGATGCGTTAAACAAGAATCAGCAAGAGTTAATGCGGAATTCAGAAAGACAATCCAAAATAATGTTGTCTACTATATCAAAATTTAAAGAGACAGAAAACCGCATCGAGAAGCAATTAGAGCGCTTCAACACTAAATTAAATGAAGCGATAAAAGCCATAAACCAGATGCAGAAATGGTATAAAACAATAGACGAAAACAGACTAAATATTCACATCTTAAGTACATATCAAACAGCAGTGAATCTAGTAACAGAAGTACACAATCACTACAGCAAAATAAGAAACATCCACTACAACCAAGGGAACTTTCAAGAACTTATATCAGAAACCCACATCAGAAGTATTATTACATCGGCAGAGCAGAAATTACCAAGCATCCTCAAGATTTTACCACATCCAATAATCAAAGTAACTACAAAACAAACAGTGGAAGTGATTCATGTGTTCGGGTTTTTTCTGGTGGCAGAGATCACGGTATACGTGATTATGAAAGTCACCCCAATTCCTATAAAAATTGAAAATTCTACGTTTTGGACCTTAAATGTCAATGAAGAAATGCTAGCTGTGGACTACAACAATCAACTATATTTCGAAATATCAAATGAAGAATTCAAAGACTGCCTACAAACAAACAAACACAATTTTATATGTGCTCCCACTATGGTGAAGAAAATAGAAGAAAACAAAAATTGCATCATTGACGAAGTCTACAACAGAACAGAAATTAACCAATGCAATATACAACAACATGAGATTCAAGGATTAATTTGGAAGCAACTCTATGCCACCAATACTTGGATGTTCATCACTAATCAGTCCACACGTATCGCTATCTCCTGTAGTGGCGAACGACAGGAAATCACGATCAATGCCACTGGAATTATCAGGATTTCACAAGATTGCCTGTTGAAAACAAAGAAAAGTATACTCAATCCGAAACGGGATAAAAAGTTATCAGTACTAGGTAGCTACATAAAACAGTTTAACAAACCATATAATCATACAAGGTCAACTCAGCAAATAACCAAAGTAATAGAAGAATCAATATTCCATGCAGAAGACTCTTTTAAACAGCTAAAAGACGAAGAAGAAACTCTTAATGCAGATATTCGAAATATCAAATGGCGGTCCACAACATCACAGTCCATTATTACAAGCACGACAACTACCTTACTCATTGCAATTATCTTGGCACTCGTACTAGGAATAAGATTCTACATCCAGCACAGAAACAAATCACATACCAAGGACAACGATCACGAAGCAGTTCAGTTAGAACCATTATATTCAACTATTCCCGGGGAAACACAAAACTAAAAGATAGATTAGGGCGCGGCTGGCAGAATGTTTAATATCACCATTAAACAGGAAAGGGCGCTGGCCAAATATTAGAGAAATAGTTAATTGGGAAAGAAAGTAGGATTAAGAAATAAAATTACATTGCATTATTTGTAAATGAGGACAATTTGCACACAACATTGACTAGGTTAGTTTTCAATTTGCAATTAACAGATTGCAATTAATTTGCCAATTGTTGTATAAAATTTTGTATATAAACAACGTAAAATGTAGAATAAATTACTATTGACACAAAAGTCGTTTAGTCACTCTACGTGAGCACGGGGCTTCCAAGTCTTTAAAATTCGGTGCATGAGACTGTGTACCACCCTGTGCTTACACTAAATAATATTGGGAGTAATCTCAATATTGTTCAGAAGGCTATGTTTATTTCATTCCTGCTGGCCAAAGTAATGAAGTCACAGATCTAGATTTAGATCTAGAGGAAACTCGAAATGTGAGTTTTTCCACTTTTGAAGAATTTAAAACGGCCGCGTTCAACATTTGGACTGCTACTCTTCCGAATGATTCAAACAAATGGATTGAAGGCACTTGCAATTGCCCAGGATTTTTCAAAAAATTAATTTGTAAGCATGTAGTGGGTGTTGCAATAAGGCTGAAATACACAACACCACCCGCTGAAGCCAAATCTGTCCCCATTGGAGCTAAAAGGCGACGTGGCCGACCTTCCAAAGCAAAGCAGGCACTACTTGTACAATAGGGTAGGTATTTTGCACGTAATTAGTGTATATGGTTCAGGATAATTATTTTCAGATTATCACCACGATCTACTCGTACTTCATCATTACTTAACGGCATAGCGTTTTTCTCTATTACGTTGTATTTTTCTTCATATGTTTTTGTTTTGTGTTTACTTACATTAAATAAATATGACCATTTATTAGTTAACAGAGGGTTTAATGATTTGTACTGGCCGATTATTATTTTTATACAACGTTTCATATTTTACTGATCATTTATTTATTTAATTAACTATTTTTTCTCTTACTAACCGTTTATTAATTTCACCGACCATTTATTAATTCAACTGACTGTTTTTTAAAACCTTACTGCCCGTTTATTACTTTCGTCTACCATTTATTAAGTTAATAGGCAATTTTTAATCTTACTGACCGTTTATTATTTTCACCGACCAGATATTACAATAATGACCATTTGAAAAAAATAATGGAAAACTGTACTGTTCGTAAAATGGAAATACTGATCATTTAATTTGTACCGTTTTAAAAAATATGTTTCGCGATCTTTAGAAAAAAATCGAAACGCTAACGTAAGGATAGGCAACTCAAATTGCACTTATAACGCCTGAGGCGACAACCCATTACTTGAAAGGGAAAACAAAAGAAACTAGCTGGCATTACCCTACACATTCTTACGCCGTTCCTAATGATATGGATTAGATAAATTACTATTTATTATTTATTTATTTGAATGCTGTTGATTTGTAAATCATAATGTCACATATTCCCAAGACGAAAAATGGATATCCTATTATAGGTACATTGGAAATAGTTTTTTATTTCTAAAACCTTTTGCATCCCATCAGGATGCTTCAAGAAATTTAAAAAAAACCCTATAATGAGGCTGCAATAATATTTCCCTTTGACGGGGCGGGGAGTACGTACAATACTAGGTACTTCACATATTATATCATAAGTAGTGCTGAATATGAACTATAACAATGCTTTCAAACTACCAGAAGCGTAGCACTTTGTTTAGTTAGATCAAATCAAACATGACTAAATTACACGTTTGTGTATATTTCCCCAACTAAAATTATCAGTTTCCTCAGATAGTCCAGTATGCGGAGCAGTCAGAAGGGCCGATTCCTGCAAAATGTGGTGTAAACGATTTTAACGTTTTAAATGGCCTATTTGGGTCCAAATAATGTATTTGAAGAGTGCACACCAATTTTTTCCCGGCACAACTTTTGGCAGCCAAAAAAACCTCAAAACGTTCGAACTTTTTTCAATTTCTCGGTTAAAACTCGAAAACGGTCCATATTTTATGAATAGCACTTCTTTAGTAAATTAAAGAAAACAAAATTCTGCGTCTATAAAAAAAAACAAACAAAGTCGATCCAATAGAAAAATTTTTACAAGCGATCAAAAAACGCCCATTTTTTCCAACTTTTGTAAAGAACTGAATTAACCTTTTTGTAATGCGTTGTGGCTCCTAAAGGAACGCTAAAATCCACTACCCCCCCCCCCCCCCCTAAAGATTGTAAAACATCAATCAGAGTTCAAAAAGTACCAACAATTTAAAATTGGACCAATTTTTTTAATTCGTTGGAAAAAATGGGCGTTTTTGATCGCTTCCAGAGAAGAAATGTGTTGTTTTATCTCGAGATGTCAAATTTAATGAGGTAACTCAAGAATGCGAAGAAAAAGCAAAAGTATTCTTCAGGAGTAGATTGTTACAAGAAGATGAATCAGACAAAGAAGAGCAGATTGATAAACCAGAAATTACTCAACCTGAAGGCAGTACAAGAACTAAAGAAAGCAAAGAAGAAAGTGATGATGAGTGCAGTAGTGAATATAACAATGAAAGAACGTTACGTAATCGAGAAATTATCCGCACTCCAAAGTATCTTGAAGATTACGTTATGGCGATGATGACAGAACTCCATCCTCAAACATATGAAGAAGCGATACAAGATAAAAATCGTGCATCCTGGAAAAATGCAATGGCAATGAAATGGCTTCCTTGATGGAAAATAACACGTGGGAATTAGTAAAATTACCGATAGGTGGTAAAGCAATTTCCTGTAAGTGGGTTTATAAATTAAAATTAAATACAGACGGAAGTATTTTAAAATACAAGGCAAGATTGGTCGCAAAAGGATACAATCAAAAGAAAGGTATTGATTACAATAATACTTTCAGTCCAGTTGCAAAGTTGAAAACTATTCGTTTGATACTTGGTATTGCTGCAACAGAGAAAATGCATTTGGTTCAATTTGATGTCTCAACTGCATTTTTATATGGAGAGCTGGAGGAAAAGATCTTTATGAAACAGCCAGATGGATACGATGACGGGTCTGGTAGAATCTGCCTACTCAAAAGGAGTTTATATGGACTAAAGCAGTCGCCTAGATGTTGGAATCATCGTATTGGAAAATATTTACAAAAAATTACAGTCAACAACCATGTATGTTTGTTAAAGAGAAAAATGGTGCTAAGATAGTTTTAGCCAATGGAGCTGTTTCTTGGATTAGTCAGCGACAAGGTTCCGTAACAGAGTCTACAGCTGAAGCAGAAATCGTAGCTGCAAGTGAAGCCGCAAAGGAAGTGATCTGGCTTACTCGACTTTTACAAGAAATTATGTTAGAATTAACATCTAAGAATGTTGTGCGCTCTTTCCTTTATAAAAGAGTATCGGCGTCGGCAGTTTCAGTTTCCTTCAGACTTGTGTAGAATAAGGTATACAGCGCGACCTCGAACAAGTTGTAGAGTAGTGACCATACTTATTAAAGTACATTCAATAAATCAGTCTACTTATTTCGCGGAATCCTAAGGGATTTACAAATATATCATCAAATTACATTTTTAAAGGAAATTCCAGTTATCCAGATTGACAACGCAGCAGCCGTTAGAGTTTCTGAGAATCCCGAAAATCATCGCAGAACCAAGCACATTCAAAGGAAACACTTCTTTATTCGTGAGCACGTTAGTGAAGGTACATTGGTTGTAGAAAAGGTTTCATCTGAACATCAGGTAGCTGACATTATGACCAAGCCTCTCGCTCAAACAAGATTACATAATATCCTTTGTGTAAAGATGGGACTTGTATAATTATTAATTTTTATCAAACAAGGGAAAGTGTTTAAAGTCACTTAAAGTTAGTGTTAGATAAAAATAATAGGCTGCGTATTTCTTAGTTTAGAATGATTAGAATTTTTACTGTAACTGTCACATGTAATAACGCTCAATCTTGTAATCAATAATATCAATTTCATTAAAGTTTAACGTTGAATTATTAGTCGTCAGAAATTCGTGGTCATACTGCACACTATTTTTAAATTTCGTCAGATTTTAACGTACGTCCCTATACCTGTGTATTAAAATGGATGAATATGAAGCGTATGTAGCCGAAAATCCGTTACTATTTATGTTATTATTGGAAGATGAAAGAAGTGAGTGGGTGAATTCAATTTTGATAGAAAGAGAACAGAACGGCGAGTTCCATACGTTGTTCTATAAGTTACAAGAGAATCCAGTGAAATTTTTTGAATATTTTAGAACGAAAAGCAGCACTTTTAATTATTTTGAGTGGAATTGGGCCACGTATAGAAAAATCCAGTAATTTCAGAAACTGTATTTCTCCTGAAGAACGACTTGCTGTCACGCTCAGGTAAGTATTAAAAAAATATTATTCTTATTGTACATATTATAGATTTTGTAAGTGAATGAAACAAAATTTTATTCCATCAATTTGTAATCCAAAGATTCTTATACGTGGTGTAAATTGTGTTCATTTGTAATGCTGTAGGATGCACCAGGTTCATTTGGGTAGTTTAACATAAATGCTGGGTTTATTTCTGGGTTCAGTTGGAATGGCGAAGAAGATTGTGACTGGTGATAACTATCAGAACTTTGCACTTCTTCTTCGTCCTGCAATAGTACTTGCTGTAATCGTATTCTTGTTGAAAGCTTTCTTTTTTTTTGGCACTTCACGAAGATGAGGTAATAAGCTCATAAGAAAATCGTAGTCTTCGTCATTTCTTTTGTTTTCTCAGATGGTTTTTTACGTTCATGAATTTTCTCAAAGTGTTCCACTTTCCTCTTCTCCAGTGCAAGAAGTTGATTTATTGCATCTGCTTTAGGAGCTTTTCGTTTTGTTTTAACAGTCGAACTTCTGAAATCATTACTAGAATCAACTTCATTAGTATTTTCAGATGCTAAGACATCTTCCTCAATCACGTCCTCTTCGTTATCCTCAGAGAGACTTTGACAGTGGGTACATTAGTTTTTAAAGTTGAAGAAAATACGTCAACGAGAAATAAAAGTAAGTAAATTTTGCCATTTATCTTTCACTACCTGACCTAAAATAAAAAAATAATTTAGTATTTATTAGGTTAGAAATACATTATGATAGGTAATTCATAATAAGCTTGTTTTTATTTATTCTTGACTATAATGCCCTAAACTTTCAGATTCCTGTCAACTGGAATGGGATTCAGAGCTTTAGCTTTTTTATTCCGCATAGCACATAATACTATTGCTAAAATAGTATATGAGGCATGTGATGCCATTTGGGAACATTTTTCAACAAGTCACATCCACTACCGATTTACTTGAAAGGAATGCCATGGAATATGAAAAATTATCTATCGACGGAAAACATGTCCGCATTAAATGCCCACACCTATCGGGCTCACAGTACTACAATTACAAGGGCTATTTCTCAGTAATTCTACAAGCATTAGTTGAGGCAAAATATAAATTTGTAACTGTTGACGTTGGAGCGCGTACGGTAGACAAAGTGACAGTGGAATTTTCTCTGATTCTAATTTGTATGAACATTTAGAAACTGGTTCATTCCCTTTTCCACGTCCTTGTCAAATTCCTGGAAGTAGTATAACGCTTCCGTATGTTATACTTGGTGATCAAGGATATCCC